TTGGAATCAAATCACTTTTTTTGTTCTCATCACTTTTCAAATATTTAACTGCTGGTGTGACCGGCCACCTAAAGTAATTACTACTGTAAAATGGGGAAATTTTTATAATGCATTATATATAAAATATATTCATTATATTAAAATATCTAATGAATCCACTAGTGCCATTCCATAGGTCCAGCTGGTAATTAATAAAAAATATATAGAACCCCATTTGTTACTTTTAAGTTAGTTTGTTCATGAACCGCTATTAAAAATAGATTAAATTTAAAAGAAAAATTAAATCCTTATCATGGTGGTAACATCCATGTGGCAATGAATTGGTGCATAGAAGTTAAAAATACTTTGCATCAGATATCTGTAGAATTCCCAATAAAGTGTTAAATTTTGCCATACATTTTTTTTTTTATGTTCACTATATTATTTCTTTAAAAATAATATAATACTAATAACAAAGGGCTGAGCACAGACAGTATACACATACAAGCATTCATGAATTCTTCGCAACATTCTTTTATTTGTGTTGCCATATGCTTTTTAATATTTGCTGTATCATTTCTTTAATAATAATACATGGTGACAAAATTTGAAAAGTGATACTGACAAGAATGTGAAATTTGTATAATAATAGTACCTCTAATGCTAATAATGTATATGGCATTGTCTATGATGTATAATCAAAAAGGAAAAATTTAGAAAAGTATTACATTGCTTTCAACTGCTTGGCAATTAAAATAAACTAAAGGTAATAAATTTTGCTTCCCCCCTCTCTATAGATGCCACATTCCAGTTTATTTCATATTTAGAGTGAGGAATTGGTTAAATGATCTCTAAGTATTCTTTGATAAAGAGAAACCAAATTCAGAATACCTGAAATGCGCCAATCTTTTCTTTAAAATTAGCATTAATCATATGTTTCATTCTACCAAATACTAGTAAACAGTGAGATATCTCAGAGGTGTTTGTTGCTTTTCCATTTCAAATAAATCTTTGACCATTTATAAAGTTATTTTAAATAACCTACCTGAAATATGTTATTTATGCTTTGAATTGTTCCAGTCAGTTATGAATTACATATATTCAAGAATTCTTACAACTTGTATAAACTGTTTTCTCAAACTGAGGATACTTTTTATTGAAATTTTTTTAGCTGTGAAATTTTGTTCATATTTGAATTGTTACTGTAAAATTCTTTGATATCTAGTTAAACAAAGATTTTAATTTCTTTAAATGGTTAATTTGTTCTGCTCTGTCAAAAAATGTTACTTAAAAAAAAATTAACTTCATTTGACATTGCATTACATGATTGAAAGTGCTCGAAATTAAAATTCTGTACTTCAGTTTCCCTTTGTAATTCAATATACTTTCAGTAAAATTTTCTGTATTAATTTATATTTAAAATTTGTTATGCTTTCTCTCAGACTTTGAATTGATTAAATTAAATTTGAGAATTTTCCTATTAATTATAAATTAAGTTAGAACTTTTCAAACAAGTTTAAGTCAAGTTAGAACTTTTCAAACAAGTTTAGTTCAAGTTAGAACTTTTCAAACAAGTTTAGCTCAAGTTAGAACTCTTGAAAATATTCAGAATTCTGGGAAAGTTTTGATTCATATTAATGGTAATAAAGAATTTATAAATATTGCAGAGGTGTCAATTCTCCCAGTTTGCAGTCATCCTGTCACCAACTCAATTTGCAAGATACAGGGTGGTTATAATTAAAGTTCCACTTTGAAATGGTCATAAAAGGAAAACTAATGGACCAAATGTTATCAAACTTGGTTAATTGTGTAAAGAAGGTCATAAGAATTTATTTTCTGAAAAAAAAAAAAAAGTGCGAAAACTCACCACCAGGGTAAAATGGCACTGTATGCAATATTGTTAAACGAAATAAGACATGAAGGGATTGGTATAAAACATGTTTAAGTGTTTCTGAAGCATGTTAAAAGCATGTTCAATGTGACATCCACTATTTTCTGAAAGCAAGTTAAATAGTACTACTGCATTCTCAATAGCAGCTCTTAAGCATATCAGGAGGATGTAATGGACATGTTATTGTATCACATCTTTCAGTTCTCTCAAATTGTTTAAATTATCACACTAAATAGTGTTTTTGAGGTAACCCCATAGCCAAAAGTCTCAGTGGTTGAGGTCTGATGACCGGGGTGACCAAGAAGTAGGGAGGTGTTGGCCTATAATCCGTTAATTCATGAAATGTTGCCTAAATAACTGTGTGACACATGTACCAATGTGAGGTTGGGCTCTGTCCCGCATAAAAAACGGGGTGTCTAAAATGCCATGTTGCTGCAGTTCAGGTATCACAAAACATTTTAACATTGACGTTAAGTCAGCTGCAGTCACAGTGAATGTAACAGATCCAGCTGTTGACTGCTCTTCAAAGAAAAATGGTCCAATTATGAAACTAACTGTCATACCACACCAAATGTTGACTTCGAAAGAATGCAGTGGAACTGAGTATAAACATGAGGGATTCGTAATAAAACAATTTCTGGAATGCACACACTTTTGAAAGTGATTTCGATCTCACATTTTCTAATCTCTAATTTGTTGTTTTCACGGATGGATTTCTCCATTACACGGATGGTGCACTCGACTTTTATTGCCTTTAACACCTTTAAACAGTAATTTTGTATAGGTAAATGTTTCTTAAGGGTAAACAACATATTAAAACTGTGTAACAAAAAGTTAAGCTACATTCTGACCCTTATTTCATTTAACAATATTGCATACAGCGCCATTTCCCGCCCCCTAGTAGTGAGTTTTTTGCTTTTTTTTTTTTTTCCCCAGAAAATAAACTCCCATAACCTCCTTTACATGATTACTAAGTTTGAAAATATTTGGTCTAGTAGTTTTCCTTTTATGATCATTTCAAAGTTGAACTTTAATTATAACCACCCTGTTATTTCTCTTGACATTATCTTATTCTTTAAAATTTTTTTTTGATATATATGCAGTTCTAGTCTATCATTATTTGCACCCAAAAACACAATTTCTGATATCTGAAATCACTTAAAATTTTCCTTAAATTACCCATAAAAGAAAAGCAAAATTATTTTATGTATAAGGTATTATGGTAATCTTTTGCTGTGAGTGCCCGAAAACATAATGCTCCAGTTCTTCACTATGCATCGAGCTCCATTGCCATTCATTTAGCATATATTATCTGATAAGCACAAAGCAAGGTTGAGGCTGTCCTCCGTTTTCCCTCATGAAATTATGTAACTTGGCTATACTTTGAAAAGGGGTTTGAAAGTTTGCAGTCTTTTATTACTAATTATTTTTAATTGCAATTAATTTTGTTGCTATCATATTTTATTAATTATATGTGCTGTTTGTTATTGCAATTTTTTTAACATGCACTGTGGAATGTGAGATGTCATTAAACATTTGCATGCATAAATGCACATAAGAAGCTTTTCTTGGCAAAAAGAAGTCCATCTAGCAATTGCACTATAATGCTGATTTCTTAAAGAAAGAGAAATCAGTTTTTGTTTTAAGCTGTTGTAGAAAAACTAATTAAAATATAATTTATCTATTTAAAAGCATAATTATAAAAAATATTTACACATAAATATTTTTAATTATTAAATTTAATTTTTTAATTATTAAATTTATTTTCAGTCATTAATTATATAATATTTAAAGTTAGTTCACTATTTAAAAAATTACTTTTCTCTGTATAGTTTTGTCATATAAAATAATTATTCTGAGATAAGTGTCTTAATTTTTTAGAAAAAATTCTCAATTTTTGAATTTTGTAGTTTGGCATCTCTGTTATTGGAATATAAGATAAATGTGCTTTAATAAAAAGTGTCCTTTTAAGGATTATGGTATTTGGGAAAGAGGCGATAAAACAAATCATGGACTTCCCGAACTAAATGCAAGTTCCATTGGAATGGCCAAGGTAATTAACATTATTATGGTATCTTTGATTTTAGATTGTACTCTTGTTTTACTGTGTGTTTGTTTAACATTATAATGAGAAATAGTATTTTAGATGGAGGTATTTAATAATAAAAATAAATTGACAGAAATGAGAGTTATAAATATATTTTTTAATAAATTTCTATTTTCATTCCCATATAAATGGTGCACACAGAGTTTCGGCAATTCTGAATTTGGGAAATTTCCAGATTTTACATCATTGGTTTAAATCAAATAAGATGACATGTGGGCATGCCAACATTGTGTGAGGCTTCACTTGTTGTTTAGGCCAGATAGAAAAGGCTACCCATCTAACCATTTCAGGCCTGAAAGTGCAATACTGGTTGACATCAATATAAGGGCAATCAATGTATTGTCATTGGCTACAGTGTGATTCCCTAGACAGCAGGTATTTGAAAGTGATTTGCGGGAATCTGAATTAGTCTGGGGAAAAGTTGCATTTGGATCTGCTTCATTTTGTTAGAGAATTGTATTCTACATTCAAGAATTCTACTTCAAGAATTCTTTATTATTGTTTTTATTTACTTTTTGGGAAGTCTGGATATTTTATGTCCAGATTTTGAACTTTGTGCTGTATTGTAAATAATATATTATATGATATATAGTGGTGGACAAAATAATTGAATTATTAATATTTTTTAGATGTGTTTAATTTTAAAATATTGACATGATAATTTTAATGAGGTATTTGTTTTTTTAAATGCATTATATTCGTCAGTGTTGTAAAATTGTGTTTCTGGGATACTATCTTGAAACAAATTTTAGAGTTTGGGGAGTAAGAAAATTACTTAGCAGTTATCGTATAATGCCAACTAGAAAATTATAATTCATAATTTTGCTGTATGTTTTTGATATTTTCTCTGCTGTAATATATGTATAACTTTTCAGTGAATGAATTTAATAAAAAAAATAGTTAAAAATTAAAAATAAAGTTAGAAGAAGGAATTAATTCATTAGGGGCTAGGATTTAGTGAATTTGACACTAGCCTTAAATTAATTTTATTGCTAATTGAAAGTATATTAAGATATCCTGGTTTGATGTAGTTACCTAATAATTAATAATTTGATTTGCATTTCATTATTTTTACCTGAAACTCCGGCATTTTCAGATTTGGCTGACACACACATTATGCACTGAACATTTTAAAGAAAGTAGGAATGAAAATTTTGTCTTCTTTTGATCGAGTGGTAAAAATTGTCAAACACTGGTAGTTCGTTTTGAATATGATTCCCTTATTATTAAATGGGTTTGTTCAATGGAAGTTTTGTAGTGTGTCTAATTTGTAAATTAAATACGAGTATATTCACTTATGACAGCGTTTCCCAAACTTTTTTGAATGCGGCCCAGTACGAGATTCTAAATTTTTTGCAACCCACCTTATAAAAAAAACATTTATTTACAAAACAAATTTTATTTTTTAATAAAAATCAAAATTCAAGTTATTTGTTTGTTTATTTCATACACAAAAATTGCAAAATAATTATATAATAAAAACATAAGTAATTACATAAGTAAGTACATATTTTGACCTTAGTGCGAAGGATGATGTTGTTTTTCATCACATAGTAATTTCAAATTAGGATTTAATGATGTTAATTTTATTCTCAAATTAGGTTTGACATCCAATCTGTTTCGATGCTTATTTTTTAAGTACACCAAGGCTGAGAATGCAGTTTCATACATATAAGTGGTGACAAAAGGCATTAAAAATTGTATCGCTTTTTCGCTTATGCTTGGATATTCCTTTTGACAGTGCAACCAAAAATTAATTAGTGTTACAGTTTCAAACACTTTTTTAAGATGGGTGTCGCGTGAAATTTCAATTAAATTATCAAGTTCTTGTTCACTAAGATTAAGCATTTCTTCCTTTTCAATATCGACAGAAAATGGATCTTTAATCCACATGTTATTTGAAGGAATATCCGGAAAGTAGTCTTTAAAACTATTTATTAACTCCAAAAGATATTCTTGAATTGAAACTGATAGTGTTTCAAGATGTAAATCTTTTTTATCGTAGTTTGAATAATTTTATGTAATGTTTCAAAAGATTTGAAAGTCGTTGTTTCCACAGAGTCATTTTTTTAACTATTGCAGCGACATTTTCCGATACTTTCAAAATATTTAAACCAAAGCCTTGCATATTTAAATTCAATTCATTGAATGTAGCAAATATGTCGCACAAATAAGCTTCTTTTATTAACCACTCGAAATCGTGGAATCTATCCTTAAATGAAAAATAACATCTTTTTTACAGGGTTGCCACACTACCTGGAAAACCGGAAAAAGTCAGGGAATTTAAATATTTTAGTCAAAATCTGGAAAAGTCAGGGAATTGTCATACGGCGATCCCCTAAAAAAGAGAGTTTGTGCCAAGTGTTGGAAGCGATGGCTTTGTTGGCGAATTATATATCGGATGAGCGTCATTCGGACAGCTGGCGTAGAGCCAATTTTCGCAGCTCCGATCAGATTGTCTTTTAGAAAGGCAAAGCAAGTTTCCAGCAAGTTTGGTTTCCAGAACCTCGAGAATCCTAAACTCGCATGTGCAGGTTATGTTGAAAGCTCAGGTGTGTTGGCTAAAAGCCTCATCCTTGTATATAACACATCGCGAAATGGCATGACTTTCCTTCCATAACATTAGAAGTGTTGGCAGAGAATTCTAAAATAAAGAATTCTCACAAGATGTTGTGATGGTGATAGCCTTGTGTATACCACCTATGGAGAAGAAGGTAGACTGCATAAGAAATAGATGATAATTAAGTCCAGAAACTAGTCATGAGGATTTCCTGCTTTCCTATTGGTTAGTCATAGAGGATATTTCTAGATCTTTTCTAATCTTCTAATTCTGCAAATTTTATGAGTAGCATAGCTGCTTGAAATCCTATTTGTAGCTTTTCTGCTGAATTCTTTGCCGCTCTGATTTTTCCAATACATGGTATGATGGAAGTTAGGAATAAGTTGATTTTTTTTTGTCTTGGATCCAATTGAGAGCATCATTTAGGTCTTTCGGTGGTGGGGGATTTTTCCTTTCAGTTTCTCGTTGTATGTAGCTTGAGGGATTTTTTCTTTGCTGGGATTGAGGCTGTCTTTGAACTGGAAAAGTTTTCTTCAGAGAATTCGGGAGCTTTAGGCTGGGGTGGGCTGCTTTTCCTTTCATATCTTTTCTTATATTCACTGCAGCCTCTGTAGCTGCTCACGCGGCAGAGTCCACAAAATATGCATTTAGGCTTATCTCTGGGTTTCATGGAGCATTCGTTATTTCGATGTTGTTGACCGCACTTTACTCATCTCACGGGATTACTGCAATAGTGTTGAAACTGACCGAACTGCTGGCAGCGGTAGCATTAGACTGGTCTTTTCTTGGGGTTGAATTTTTTGATTATGACGTTGAAACTGAACATATTATTGAGCTGGTGGAGCTTATTTCCTTTGGGGGTTTTCTTCAATTTCAGGAGGTATATGGGAAGATTGATTTTTTTGTCCTTCATGGCTTTTGGAAAACTGCTTAACTTTTTCAATAGGATATTTCCTGTACTTCAGGTCCTGGAATATGGCATCTTCTTTGATAGTAGCAGGAAGGTTCTTCATGATAACCCGGATCGGTTTTTCGAATTCAGACTGGTAGGAGGGTAGAGGATCTTTTTTTCCAGTAGGAGTTCATTCATCACACTATAATCTTTTAGGTTCTTGGTGTAGACAAAAATCTCATTTGGAATTCGTGAACATTATGTTGAACTAAAGAAAATACCTTCCCATTCTCATATACAACAAAATCGGTTTAATACTAATATATGGTACCATGGAGGCTAGAATAACCCCCATGTACTCTGTTCTAATGTAAGAATATCTGTGTAAAAAAAAGAAAAATTCCATAGACGTAATGTAAATCAGTTTTCTAGAGTGCCACTAGAAAGCGGAGGGAAAACTCGCCAAGGGATGTGGCGACAGAACCTGACGGCGAGAATTTCCCCCTCCGTGATGCGTACAGGAAATTGTAGAGCACGTGTTAAGAAGAAACGTTCTTTTACTTTTGAAAAGATTTATACTTGAATTTTTGTACTTTTTTTGCTCAAAATAGCTAATCTATTAATTAATTTACTCGTGCAAAAAATATTTTCTTTTCCTTTAAAGTTTAAGGAAATTTAAAATGATATTCGTTTTATGTACTCTTGATAAACTTTGCAAGCTTTGGCGACAAATATTTTGTGCATACGCAACTGTTTCTCTCTACATTGGGACAGAGCTATTCCTGTTGCAGAGAAGTTCTTTTTTGTTAACAATACATATTTTTTTATTCTAACCTCCTTGTACGGTACACATGGGATTTAGTGACATTATGATGAGCAGTAACAACAGTTACCTCTTTCTGTCTCTTAGTCTCTGTTGAAGAAGCTGTTGGTTAGTAAACCGGTCATTTTGGTGTTGGCGGCAGTTTTTAAAATTGTACAAGGGCCATAGTGAAGACTAGGATTTTACTGCAAAATCTTTTAAACTTTTTTTTTCATTTTAATAAATGCCTTATTTTTCATTTTGCAGTAAAATAAAAAAATAGTAACCAGTCATCTAGGCTATCGTTTAATATTCGCCAAAATAGCATTGATTATTGTAATTCAATTTTTAAGTAATTAACTTCATTTTAATGTTATTTATATCATTTAATGTTCTTCTTTCCTCTAAATTTATTTATTATTAGTTAATAATACTTTCAAATTTCAGGCAAATTTCTCTGGCATAATTCTGAAACTAAATCTTTCTTTTGTTTAGCTGCAAAATGTCTGCAAAAAAAACTCATTTTTTAAATCCAGATTGGGCAGATTCTAATCTCAATCTTCAGTGGAGAAAACAACTCCTATTATAGCTATAATAGTAATGCTTTCAGGATTATATATGTATAATAAGTCATATGCAATTGGCAAATTTTTGTGTTTTCAAGTAGTACCATAATTAATTTACCTCTCAGCGCAGCCAACGCGCACTATGTAGATAGACTGGAATTTTCTCAAAACACACCTAGAAAACCTGGAAAAGTTAAGTAATTTCATTCTCTTCTTCAAGTGGCAACCCTGTTTTTAGATGGTGGGTGTTCATTCAAAAATACCAAGGCTACTAAAACATTTCCTTTTGAAAGCCATCGTGAATTACAATGCAAAAGAAGGTGTTTATGATCACTCCCCATTTTCTTGCATAATTCAATAAAACGTCTGCTATTTAATGGACGAGACTTTATGTAGTTTACAAACTTGACACATTCTTCCAAAGTCATGTTTAAATTTAAAGGCATTTATTTTACCGCAAATGCTGGTTTATGGATACTACAGTGCACCCATACACAATTAATTTCTAATTCTTGAATTTTTTTAAACAAACCTTTATGACAGCTTGACATTGCACGTGCTCTGTCACTACTTAGCCCGACACACTTCATCAAATCAATACCGTCAATAGTGACAAAATTGGTCGTTCTTGTCGGTAGCCTTTTACAAAACAAAAAATTTTCTTGTATGGTATCTTCGTCAATATATCTGATAAAACACATTAGATTTGCATTATCCTTGATATCTGTGCTTTCATCTATTTGCAAGGAAAAAAACTTGCTCTTTTTTACTTGAGCAACTAGTTCTTCTTCTAAATGTTTCGCACAATCATCAATTCTCCATTTAACTGTATTATTTGCTAATGGTATCACCGAAATTAAACATTTTTCCTTTATTCTGCATAAATTATTTTCGACAATTTTCAAAGCGGGAAGTATTAATTTTTCTTCAGCACTATGAGGATACCCAGATTCAGCTATTAATTTGGAAATTTCAGAAGATGTCAAAGTGAGGTTTTTATTTGACTGGTATTTTTTTAGCAGCAATCAATTCATTTTTTTTTATCAGTAAAAAAATTACTCAGAATGGAGTGTGTTTAAATACCATTTCAACTTTGAAGGTTTCATACTTTCATTTGAAAGTTGCTCGTTGCAAATAACACATAGCGGCAAATTATTTTGACTGCCACCGGCAATGAACCTAAAGTGTAAATATTCGTCACAATAGTTGCGAGTCCAAGTAGCTTTACACCTTTACACTTGTTATTTTGGCGCTGTATATCTGCTTTAGGTGCTTCAGGCACAGTTTCTTCATGATCATGATGTTCAGCTTTGCTCGTGCTTGGTTGATCATCATCATTTAAATCTGTGGTTTTCTTGATTAACCATTTATCCATTTAAAAAAAGGTTGAAAGCTTTAATAAAAAGAATTTGTTTATTAATGATTTATAAGAAAAAGTATTTTTATTACTTACTAATATGAATTTGCTATTAATAATAGTTAATAACAACTATTGTCAAATAAAATATTTAACAAAAATTGAAACATAACCTTGTTTTGATGCACGTGAGTTTACGGTGCATGTACCGGAGAAGGCATTGAATGACAAATCGAAATCAGCCAATCAGAGCATCCGAATTTAAACGGTTCGGTAGGAAACGGTGGTAAAGGGTTGCCACCTGCAGTACTTGAAAAAGGTTTGAAAAATATTAAATTTAGAGCAAAATGTTATAGAGTTTTTGTGTTTTTACAATTTTTGCCACGATCCAGCTGACTTTTTCTGCAACCTGGTGCCGGGTCGCGACCCACACTTGGGGAAACGCTGACTTAGGATATATTTTATAAACGCGTTTTTCTGTAAAAAATAGCCATTCCATGTCTAACCATAATCATTTAATCCAATACAATTTGTTTTATTCTTTAGGCTGCATTAGAAGCTATGAATGAGCTGGATTTATTTGGTGGACGGGGTGGCCCATCTTCGGTTATTCATGTTCTTGCTGATGAAGCTCAGAAGTGTCATGTATGTTATGTTGTTTATTAATTAATTAATTTTTCTTTCTTTCTTTTCTCCGTGAGTATTTTAATTCATTTCCAAACACTTTAAATATTTTTTTAAATAATAGGACTTTATTTTCTTTCTTTTCTTTTTCTTTTTTGGAAAACATAAGTTCATCTAAGCATATAGAGAGTATATGAATTACTTATATGTGAAGTGACATTTTTATATTGTGATTGTATATTTGTTTATATTTTTGTATGTTTTGCTTTTTTGATTATTAGATTGAGATTATGTATATTACAATTTTTTGTTTTCTTGATTTATATTTTGTATTCAAGATTTATATTTCATATTTTCTTCACCTTGTGTTTTTAACATATTGGTGTTTTTGTTAAAATGATACTGTCATTCTTTTAATAACACCTTAATTTAATGTAATTTCCATCACCTGTGTATTGTAAATGAAAATAAGTTAAATTTTAGTTTTAAAATCTTATTTTTTTTTTCAATATAAAATTGCTGTATTTAAAGAAAAAAGTTATTTACTAATGAATGATTAAGTAAAGTTATTTACCTCATTATTCAGTATTAGTTCTTAAAATTACTCTTGGTTTTCAAAGATTTCAGTTATATATTTTATTAATATAGTTAAATACTTCTTGTAAAATATGTGATTTAATTATTATGTACTTCAGTTTATGATATCCTTAAATTATCATTAGAAACCAATAGAGCTAGAACACATGCTCCTTATTTTTAATGGAAATTTACCCATAATATGATGCAGTCATTTATAAAAATAGTAATTATTTTTGTATTAAAAGTGATCAAAAAGTTTTTCATTAAAAATACTTGTAGCTGCTTTCTGTACAGAAATTGCCGGTTTCAAATTAGATCTGGATTAACCAATTTTTGAGCTGCTCTTTCTAACAAATTCAATAGTTATTTGATTTATTTTCATTTAAATTATATGAAAATAAGAAACACTTTTCAAATCAAGAAGTGTTCTCCATATGAATTAAAATTGTAAATTATATTCTTTTACTAAAGTCATTTTTAGTATTTATATTCAATTTAATCTTTTGCTTTTACTAATGTATAGGTTTTTTTACTATGTAACATTAACTTAAGTCCTTAGACCTCATCAGAATGCTAGGTGAGTTATTGCTCCGTCTGTGGAGAGGCAGCAAACTGTTATTGTGGCTTGAAATAAACATTTTTATTTAAGCTTGAATTGAATGGAATGCACAACCTGTGCATACAGTCAAGTTTTGTTGTTTGTATGGGTTAAAACATCATAAAGTTGAACATACGGTTTAAAAAGGCATCGTATCCAGAGACTAAGTAAATTTGACAAAACTGCCTCAAGACATGATGGCACCTTTTAACTTTAGCAAATTGTTAATGTTGGAATACTGACTCACATAGCCTGGTGTTAGAAAATAGAGCATTGCTGCCGTAATCTGCATATCTAAAACATTTGAAACACTCACTGTAACATTTTGATGCGTGCCACAGAGAATAATATTTTGCGCATTAAGCTATTTAGTTAACTATCCAATGAGCAAGGAAGAGAAAAAGAAATCAACAGTGTCTGCCATTTCCTAGTGTGCATTAATTAGCAAATTTTAAATCTCCATAATAAATTAGTTTTTAAACCCTATTTAATGTAGTGAATGTGGCAGGCATACTTGTCCCAGCCTCCTGGGAGAGGTTAAATATTCCTAACTCATATGCATGTTGGTGATGGCTGAAGAAAAGAAGTTATGGTTTAGATACAAATCATAAAAATTGGTTAATCAGCATAAAATACCTTATAAGTGTAATTTTTTTTTTCTTAGATTTGCCATAAAGGGAGACATATTTAGAGGTTATCAAACTGATAGAAAATTTTGCCTTGCAAATTCTAGCTTACCTTGCTACCTCCTTGTTGTTTTAGCCTTCTGGTCTTGTACTGCATCTTGTACAAGTTGCATTGTATGTGTACTTTTATTTTTATGCTGCAGAGGCATAACACTTGGAAAAAACTTTTAATATGAGCAAATGATTCAGGAAAGTCAAAAATGAAAGAATTCCCCCTTTTTTTTTTTCCTCTTTGTGGAAGGAATATTTTTTAAATTATACTGTAACGAACTCTCATTTGGCAACTGTGCTCTATTGATATCTACTAGTACTTGGCTTCCATAGTGGTCCCGAGGAGAGAAAATGGCATCAATGCAATTCAGGCTTAAAGTTTACTGTGATATACTGTATTGTACTGGGTTTCTCTTGCCAGAGCAATACTTCCCAGTCATGCAAAGAGTTCCATGCGGAGCCTGGTAATAGAAAATTCCTTATTTCCTCTGAGGGGAGAAATAAGAGAGAGAAAAAGCAATACAGCACAATTTTCGCCTGGGCTCAGGAGCTGATGCGAGCAGTTTGCAACACTGGTCCAAATAAGAACAAGTCCGAAGTAGTTACACCTAAAAGTTTGTGAGATGCTCAAAGTTTGATATGTTACCAAATGTTATAAGATGCATGAAAACTAGTCTAGTATGGTAAACAGTAATTAAGTCAAGTATGGTAAACAGTAATTCATTCAATATCTATACAACATTACGTTATTCAATATATATTATGTAAAGAGAGAAAAGTTTTATATAAATTTGTATTTATTATTTTGTACAATATTCTCAGCAGTGTATTTAAAATAATTTAATTTAACAGAATTTATTTAATACATATGGTACTGGCAATGTGTGAAATGCCAACATTCTCTAGAGTACCTAGGCATTTTATAGAATATCTAGTGTTTTTAGGCAAAGTATGAAATATGAGAGTTATTATATACATTCCCTAGGCATGTATAATGCATAGGCATTCTATAGAATGACAAATGCTATTTTGGAAACATGTGAAAAAAGGTCACGATAAGGCTGTTATTTAAAAAATGTGCTTTCCTCAAAAATGCAAATGCTATTTTGAAAAAATAATGAGAGTGTGATTAAAAAACTTTTCAAAATTGGTTAAAGAAAAATGGAAGTTTTACAAAACAAAATTTATGCCTTTCTTATTAAAGAAAGTAATGTATTAAAATGTATGGAATCATGAATTATTAAATATATGGATTATGTATGAATGCATTAAATGTCTGATATTCAAAATAAATCAGAGATGTATCTCATGCTTTGCTGATTTGTAATTTAGCATTTTATAGAATACCTAGTAAGTGTGTAAAATGTTAATCATTTCATATATCATGGGTCAGTTTTCAGCATTCTATAAAATGCCTATGTATTCTATAGAATAGGATTCTATAGGCTTTCAGACATTGCCAGTAACATGTACTTTAATAATGGTTTTTAATGCAGTTATATAAGCAATTTGTTTAAAATAACGTACATAAACATGCCAGAAAATTATATTTGTTATTAACTCTTCAATGTTTTATCCTGGATTATCTCACTCTTGTATGCAGGCTCCTTAACAGGTCATAACAGAAAATTGTTATTTGCAATATACCCTCAAATATGGGCCTGTCTTTATTAATTGAAAAGGTATGCCAAGAATGGCTAGCCAAGATTGTTATCTTTCTTTCACCCTGAAATGCCTAAGGGGACAAGGTAATGACTGTCATTAGATCAGGGAGAAATTTCCTTGATGTTTTGAGATAAAGGCCTTATACTGGCTCTAACATAACGAGGAATTCCTTACCAGTTATAAAAAGTTAATATGTATATGAAGAACTTATTTCATAAAAACTTTTGTTTTTAAATTTTAAAATGTAATTGATATTTTATCTTGTTCAACTGTTACTGCAAAAAACAGTGTTCTGTATTAATAAATGAGATTGTGAAAAGTATAAAATAAAAATGAAAAGCTAATATAGTAATGAATAAAATACAAACATAAGATTTTGTAAAAAATGCCATTTATATTATAATAGATGAGAAGGAAATGGTATTTTCACAGGCTTGGAAATTGCTATCAGTAATTTCTGTTTTTTAGTATATATCATTTCAGCAGAACAAGAAAACTCAGTCAAGAGAAAATTTCTACACAACACAACATGAAGGCTTTTCTTGTCCAGTCCTTGCTGGACTGGAGTCCAGCATACAGCAGTCCAGATTTGAGTACCTTGTCCTCCAAATATCCTATTTGCCTACTTTAGCTTCTTTTTTCACTGATAGAAGACTGGGAATAATAAGCATGACGAGTAAAATACTGTTTTAAATTACTATGGGACATGGTACAGTTGCTGAAAACCAGTCTGACTGTTAACTGTTTATTTTTCATATATGCACAGATCAGTAAGTGTTTGCTTCTCGCCAATACAAAAGTGTGCCAAATCAACATTCTCACCAAAGCTGCTACAGACAAGTACTTATCTTCTTCTGAAAGTGAGCAATAATTTCCAATGTATAAATAAAAATTAGTATTAAAATCTGTAAGATTATCCCGTCTTCTGAAGACCAAAAGTGCTTTAAACATTAGGTGATCATCTTAAGGAGAATTATCTATTTTACTCTTAATTTATTTAATTATTAATCTTTTATTACATACTATATAATATCATTATGTATATATATATATATATATATATATATGTATATTAATTTAGGAATATGGGAGAGGAATTAAAGTTATTCAAATAAATTTTAATTATGGCGGATGGTTGTAGATGGTGCTGGCATACAAAATGTGTACTTGCATAGTAAAAGGATATAATTTGCACACAAACACTATAGATTCAACTCATTTCTTGATAAAATAATTAAGATGGATATTCTGATTCATACATCATCATGGGTACAATTTGCACCCCAAATTTTTGGAAGTTTACTGCATCATAAGATAATGGATGATGCATAGAACTCAGCTGCTGTGGGAAACACATCAGAAGAAAGAAAACAAGTGGGAAAGTGTGGGACTTTCTTCTGAATTTCTTCTGAATGTGAAAAGATTTTGGTTGGTAAAAAGTTTTGTTTTCAATTGAAATCTGTTTTGCTCATTGGCTGACATGCATTGCAATGTTATGTGAAATCGTATGATACAGCTTAATTTGAAATGACACAGTGTATATATTGTAAGAGGCTATTGTTTTTAGAAAAGAAAGGGAAAATACCCAAATTAAAGTAAAGAATATAAGAGGATTTAATTAATTAAAATTAGAAGTTTACTTTCATATTTTTTATCTTACACATATATTATTTGTTAAGTCAAATTATGTATAGTCAAATTACTCGTATTTATCCTGGGTATATTTGATGATTAAATTAAGTATGAATTTGTATGATAAGATATTTATTGTCTTTTTCTCTGTGTTTCCCCCAAAGGCTGTTTTGCAGTCAATGTTGCCAAGAGAATCTAATTCAAAAGTAAGTGAAAATTTTTTAGCAAAATTTTTCTTTCTCCCTTCTGCTATCAGAGAAGTTATTTGTGATGTATGAACTTTAAATTGTTAGTCAAATATTAAATTTAAAACTTGAATCTAAAATTATTCAGTATTTTCAATGTGAATATTAATGAGTATCAAGGTATGGAGCATGTAGATTAATAAAATATTCTTTAAAGACTGTTCATGTAATTTATTTTATCTATTTGCAGGAAGTAGATGCAGCATTATTGTCTGTGATAGGTTTTCCCGCTTTTGCAGTTGAAAATCCCGAACTCATAAAACTTACAAGAGACACCATTGAAGAGAAATTAAGGGTTAGTGTAATTTATTAATTTAATCTTAAGTTATGAATAAGTTTTTTTTTGACTACTTAATCCTCTGAGTGGAGCAGCTTTTCAGTCTTACTGAAGAAGAAATGTATTTAACAAGTATTAATATTAAACATTAAATTTGTACAGTTAATTATTTTATTCTTTATTTTAATCTTCAATTCATTAAGGTAATATTTAGATTAATAAACAATAGACGTAAGTAAAATAGTTTGTAACTTTTTGTTTATTCCTATCTTGAATATTACTGTGTTCTTTAAAATGCTAATATTTTTTTAGTACTGTATTATACACAAAATATATGAATTAGTAAGGGAATTATTTTTATTATATAATGTAATAATTATGTATGCAATTACTTGATTGATTCAGTCTTCAACAGTTATAAAAAGTTGCATTATTTACTTGCAGGGACGATATGGATGTCGTAGGTTTCTGAGGGATGGCTATAAAACTGCTAAAGAAGTAAATTTTGATTATGACTAAATTATAATCTTGCATCATTATTAAATTGAATTCCTCTTGTAAACTGCATTTTTGTCGTATTTCTTATGTGTTATGTTATAATTTACTGAATGTGAATAATACTTTTTATCAAAATTAGGACTCAAAAAGATTATATTATGAACCATGGGAGCTGAAAGTATTTGAAAATATTGAATGCGAGTGGCCTTTATTCTTTTGTTATTTCATTATTGATGCTTGTTTTCGTGGAGACAGAGAAACAGTGAGAATTCTGTCTTTATATTTATTTTTAATTATATTAATATCTAAATTGTGTTTACATAAACTATTACTGTTCCTTTTTGTGTAGGTTGAAGAATTTTCTGACGCTCTTGATAGCATTTTAATTAAAGAAAATGGACTAAAGTTAGTACCAGAACTGTATACAGTACCAGCTGATAAGGTATTCATACTTATTTTCAAAGGAAATGTGATTGCACCATGTTAACATGTTCAGTTTGTTGCAGAAATGCTTATCATTCTGTTTCATTAAGGTATACCTATGTGAAAATGTTTTAAATTATAGGTTGATTTAGAGTACCAAAACCCTCATAGTCAAGAACGAATTGCCATCGGTCAGAAACCTTTCATATGGGCCCAGTCTCTGTACATAGTTGGAAGGCTTTTGCAAGAAGTAAGTTTTTTTTTGTTCTTTGGTGCATATTGAAAGCAACCTTATGTTGTTATAGTTCTTGAGACCTATTGCAGTGCATTATCATTAGGTTATTTATTATACACAAGAGTTCAAAATAAGAGAATATGCATTTTTGTCTATTTTCTTGAAATGTCCTGAACAGCATTAACAGGAACACTATGTCCTGAATACAATTATGTCCTGAAGCAATACAAGTATAGCCAATTTGGTAGCACTGTGTTGCATTTTATGGTTTTTATACAGAGTGTGTTGACAAATATTTTAATTATCCAAGTAGAAAATTGCATGAAGCTTGTCTGTGTTTTACATTTATTATGACATTCTCTAAAATATTTTATTATTTTCTTTAAATATTTGTGGATGATTTTATAATTTATTGTTGAATCAAATAAGCAATAAAATAAAATATTATTAAAAAAAAGATATAGTAAAAACCTGTGCCATTCAGTTGATTAAAATACTTTTTCATTCACTGGTGAAACTAAAGTTTCGATCGTTTTACCGAACTATCATCTTCAGCTGCAAAAGCGCAAATGAACGAGATAGAATATAATGATTAGGTAAGAAAAGAAAGCCTGGACAGGAGATAAGCTACTGGCACCATCTGTTGATGAAACTAGAACTAAAACATAAGCTAATAACAAACCAGAACTAATTTCTTTAAAGGCTGAAGGCAAAGATGGATTGTATTTAGGATCGTTAACTAGAACAGAAAGATTTTTTTGAATGTGAAATTCCTCTAGAAAATCCAGTTCACCAATGGAAGATGCTTTTTGAATAATTTTGGCAGCAGAAAAATTGAAAGTGTGATTTTTGGACCAACAATGTTGGGCAATAGAAGACTTCTGTGTTTCCTTTTTTCTAACATATGCCTCATGTTCCTTGACAGGAAATTTTAAGGCTGTCTTAGTTTGGCCAATGTAAATTAAACCACACTGGCAAGGAATCTTGTAAATACCCCAGGAATTCATATCCGAAATGGGGTCCTTGAATATGGAGCTCAGAATTTTATTGATGGGAGAATAAACAACCTGAAAGTTAAATTTCTGAAAAATACGTGCAACTTTATAGCTAGTTGATGGAAAGAAGTTGTTTGACTTCTAAATTAATATTTGTTCGGCGTGTTATTGTATCTTAATTAAATATATATATGTTTGAAATATTACTTTTGAATAACTTTTAAGATAAATATGTTTTAATTGCTTTTAACCCTCTGAGTAGCATAACTTTTAGAATCTGCTCATAAAAACCTATATTGAAACAGCATTTACTAGTTAAATTTATGTAATTACTTAATATCTTTTCTGCTTTGATAAGCTTCCATTTATTAAGATGATATTTACATTATTAAGGAATGCGAAATATTTTAAAAACTAGTATAATGTCAATCTTTTTCTTTTTTTTTCCAAGGGCTTCCTTGCACCAGGAGAACTTGACCCATTGAATAGGCGATTAAGTTCTGAACAAAAACCTGATGTTGTAGTTCAGGGTAAGAAATTTTATAAATTTGATAATAAATTTTGTTGAATAACAAATTAATTTTTATCAGATTTTATTGATGCTAGATATTATTGGTAAAATTACCATTTCAGTTGTCATACTAGCAGAAGATCTTTACGTAAAAGAAAAATTGAAGAATCATGATATACATGTACAAACAATATCAGAAGTCTCTCCCATCGAAGTCCAGCCAGCTCGAGTTTTAAGTCACATATATTCCTATTTAGGTAAAATTATTAATTTTGGAAAATTAATTTTGAAATTCATTCAAAACATGAAGTAACTGCAATTTTATAAAATGCTTACTATAATGTTAATTTTAATAATATGCACTCTCTTCTGTATATCTGTATATGATTCTATGCTTAATAAGTTCTTCATTTTATTTGTAAATATCTTCACATTCTGAAAACTCAATGATTTTCAATTTAGAATTTTAAATAAAAGTGTGAAATATTGAACTTAATGTAGAAATAGACTAATTTAAATATTAATTGGTAGTCTCAAATTAAAAAGTGTTTAAATCACTGCACAAAATAATAGAAAATTTTTTAAAAAGTTTTATACTTTTAATTGCATCTGAGTTACTTTTAAATTTGGTTCCAAGAAGTTAAATAGTAATTTTAAACATTTCCTTTAAATTATAAAATAGATCCTTCTTTTAAAACTTGCTATTTATGCAAAATTTTAATTCAGTTCTATAATGTCTGATTGTAATAAATTCAGCTTCATTCATTTAAAATAGGTATGTGATGCATAAGATTCTTTGTTATGCTGATTAAATAATTTCTATTATTAAGTTTTTACTATGCTGTGCTTTATATTTTATTTTTCTATTAACAAAAGCATTTGAACAGCTAAAATTGGACAAAATTCAACCTCAGATGAGTACTTTTTTCTAATACACATCAAGAAAATCTTATGTGTGTCTGTTTTTCAAAGCAGTATCTTCAAAAAAGGTAGACTATTCCTCTTATGAAGAGCCATATTGAACAGTAATTTAAAATACAGGGAGCACTTCTGTAAAATGACGAGCATAAGATTGAATTCTGTCCTGTTTCAAAATTTAAGTTAGCATGCTTATCCTTTTTAAAAATTTTTAGCTTGGTTATGTAATATTTATTTAAATACTATAAAGCTGATTCATTTAATTCAATTTTTAACTCAATAATACTGATATTATTTATTAACTCATATTTTATATAGCGCTTTTTCTTTGAATAATTTATTTTGAAAGTTGGCTCTAGCATACAAGTGACATGAATAAAGTCATTTGTTGATTAACTTTTCTCTATAAACATTAAGAAAATGTGCCTGTAATTATAAGAATATATTATATCATTCTAGAATATTAAACTTATTTTATATCAGTATATAGGGGTTTGGCTGAAATTGAGATTTGAAAATAAAAAGAAAAAATAGCTTATATAACTTTTTCAGTTGTTAGAATTTACAGGATATCTTGGTCTTATTAATACTTATTAAACATTTCTTTCAATGTAAGTTGTTTATGTAGCTTCATTTTTTGTGTTAATACTTTCTCTTTAATTCTATAGCTAGCCATAACTTCTTGTTCAGTTAAAGTTTCATTGTTCAAGTCCTGTAATTGCTGTGTCCAGAATTCCGACTAACTTGTCAATAGAAATTTTCTCATTTTCAGTATCATATCTATTACTTCCTTCACTATTGGTAGTGGTATTTTCTGGATTTAGAACCATACTACAGATTTCACAGTCCATTATTTGATTGATGATTGGGACATTGTCATCGCAACAAAGAACTTCTGTTATGTCATTTTCATTTATTACCACTTCTCCACATATCTTTACAAAATCCATTAATTAGAAAGTTTCACTTTTGGTTTGTGATATCTGTGAACCTTCATATTAGCGGCTACCATCTTCATTATCCTCACCATGAAATATGGTACATGGCCATATAGTATGCTAAGCTTTTTTTAAAGTATCTCGAGACACATTCTCCCATGATCTTACAATACTCCACAAGCAGGTTTTATACTAAAATATTAAAAAAATCTTGAATAGTCTTCCCATTTTTCAATAAATTTAACATAGATTTGAAAAGTGTTACTTTATATTTGCATTTCAGTGCATGCTACTTTATATTTGCATTTCAGTGCATGCTTTTTTATATTTGCATTTCAGTGCATGCTACTTTATATTTGCATTTCAGTGCATGCTTCTTTATATTTGCATTTCAGTGCATGCTACTTTATATTTGCATTTCAGCGCATGCACTATTCTGATATCCATAGGTTGAATTGTGGACGTACAGTTTGGAGGAAAGATTAATATGGATATGTTATGTTTCACTAAAACTTTTAAGTGAAGTGAACAGTTGTCTTCAATCAGGACAATTTTTGCCTTATCAGGTAAACTAACCGAATTCTGCCAAGCATCGGGTATAAAATGATTTTCAAACCAATCATTCATTAATGCTTGTGTAATCCATGCTCTATTATTTGCAGAATATATAAGGGGGAAAATCTTGACTCCTTTAAATGCTGGAGATTTAAATGTGGGGCATTTTTGCTGATTATGAAACATTTACACTTGTGGGTTCCTGCAGCATTTCTACATGCTAAAATTGTTAGTCTCCCTTCGGAATCTTTGACACCAGTTGGAACCTTTTCTGTAGAGGTTGCCAGGGTATTTCATGTTACATATTGCCAGAAAAGCCCAGTTTCATCAGTGTTGTAAATTTGTTCTGGAGAAAACTTTTCACTTAATGAGTTCAGTGAATTTATGTGTAAATAGTTCAGCAACTTTAGTATTTTAACCTGAAATATTTAATTGCCTTATGCCATGGAAATTTTTAAATTTGGTTAACCACCTGTCGAATACATGCGCTCAATTTTTAAGTTAATTTCTTCATGAAATGTTTTGGCTTGAGCCATTAGCTTTTGAGCCGTCAATGTCATGCCCTCGCTGTGATTATGTCTGATAATTTAAATCATTACATTGTCATGATCATCACTTTTAGCATAATGAATAATTTTTCTATTATTCATTGAAAGTGGGGTGTTGGAATCCACAAAAAATTCAAAAAGTTCCTTTTTCTGTTTTCATATGTCATATACAGTTGGCTTTACATTGCCATACTTCTTCCACAATTTTGAGATGGATATACTTTTATCCATTTTCTGCAGCAATTCTACACATCAAAATATGCTTTCACTTTTTAGATCCTGTTGCAGCTCCAGAATTAGAAAACTCTGACATAATTTTTTTTATTATTCTTGCGTCTACGTTTTGCACATGCTTAAGGCTCATCTAAGTCCTGAATAAATTAATTCCTATTTATACATAAGGCTTATCAAGGGCCAGCGTTAGATATCTTACCACCTGATGCAGTGTCTGCAGTCCTAAATTCTGCTACCAAGTGCCTCCCTAAGTTCTAAATATCTGGCACCCTTAAATTTAAGGTCTTGTGCTCTCCCTAAACTCTAAAAATTTTGTCATCCCTTAATTTTGTTGCTTGGTGCTTCTCTAAATTCCAGAAATTTTGTTTTCCTTAATTCTGCCACCCAGTGTGGCAATATGAGCTCTGGCACCAATTCTGGATTTATGTGAATAACAAATCAGTTATTCTCAATTCAAACAGCACTAACTGCAATCTTTTGCCTATGGGTATCATTAACTAGATCTATTTAGCAGGAAAAAAATTTTTGTTAAATTTTTCGTCATCAACGTTTCTTAGTGCATTTAACTTAAATCTGTAATCATCGTCAACATTTATTAGTGCATTTAACTTAAATCTGTAATCATCGTCAAATGTAATATCAACATAAAAGGTTACCATACTCTTTCTCATACAATTACTAATATAAAAAAAATTGCTTAGGCGTCACTGCAAGAGTCATTACTCAAGTTGTCATGTGTTGATAAACATGCAGGGAGGAAAGCAAACTATAATAATGATTCTCCAGGTTGGTGGCCAGAGATATAAAATATTAGTTGGCCTAAAATCAGTGACGTTTCTGTATAGAATAGTTCAGTTTGAGATGTATGTCAAGCAGATGTACAGCCACAGAGCCAAATTATAGGTCACACAAATTTATGCTAAACGATTGTTTCTTCATTAATGTGGTATTTTATTTAGAGCTGAAGTGAAATTAAGAATTGGTACTCTCCACATGTTTTATTATGTGTGTGTGTGGGGGGGGAGAAATCAAACGGGCACATGTAAAGTATACCCCCCCCCCCCCCGAAAAAAAAAAAAACAAACCTTGTTGGTGGTTTTGAGTTGTGGATTTTAGATTATTCTAGATATTTTACGTCCAAATCTCAGACTTTTTATTGTATTCATTTAAATCTTCTTTGTAAAAATTGTACCACCCAAAATAATGTAATGTATCATTAGTGATGCATGTACCATAGTTTGAGAAACTTTGGCGTGTAGTGTATATGTATACAAATAATTTGGTTCTATAAGTTTTATAACACATTCTTAAGCCCATTTTAAATCAAAGAAAAACCTAATTTTTAAAAGTGTTATAAAAAATATCAAGAATACAATAATTTGCTAATTTAAATCAAATCTGACTTATGATGCAACAACAATCATTGTAAGTCAAATGTTACCTATAAATTATGTGTATCTATTGGCATGCAGCATTTATATCGATGGTAACTGCTAAGCAGAAAATATTGCATGTTATTGCATTTTCAGTGTTTTCTTGTTCATGTTTTTTATTTATATCACAAAACTACATAAAAAATACAGAGGGTACTCACGCATTTTAGACTGTTTTTGGAGCTATTTAATTAATGTTTAAAATATAAAGAGTATTTTTTTAATGTTTGATTTCATAACCTTTTTTTGTTTTGTTTTGTTATAAGTCTGCATTTTGATTTTCATGGTAATGAAATTTTCAGGGACATGGATTTCCATTCTTCTTCTACTACTTTCCAGAGCCCATCAATTGTGGTGGGTTTGCCCTCTGAACGATCTCTTTTTGAGACCAAAGGCATAATAGTCCATAGGTTAACCTTTTAACTGTCATGCCCGAAATAATCTCGGGCACAGCACTGGTATTCCAAAATGTCACGCCTGAGTATTACTCGGGGTAATTTTTTTTAGTGCATCGTATTGTTATACCCGAATATATATCGTGAGAAGTTTATTTCGGCTTCAGTTCATCAGATGGCAGCATTTTACTGAACATTTCAAAGATTAGAGGTTAAAGTGTGCGGCTTTTTTTTTTTTTTTTTTTTTTTTTTTTGATTTTTTTGACTGTGAGGCAAACATTTCATTTTTGAAATAAAACAAAATGGACAATTTATGCACCCAAATCATCAAAATAACTTGACAGTTAAAAGGTTAAACATCAGGAGACTTCACTATAATATCTTGAAAAGGTGTATGCGCAGTACCTGTATCAGTCTTCATTTCTACAAGAGATTTAGTAGTACATTTTGAAGTATGTTTGTGTGTGTGTGTGTGTATTTAATTATGGCAAAGCACACTAGGGCTATCTGCCTAAGGGAAGGGATGCCTTTGTGGAGGACTTTCTAAGGGAAACTGGTTCGTATACGCGTCACACATGGGGAAACCACGAAAACACCCGTGCAGCCAGCCCGTTCGTGGGATTTGAACCTCGGACTGAACTACCAGTGTTCAGCGACTTTACCGCTTGGCCGCTGGTGGGCCTCATTTTGAAGTATGACTTATTGCTTTATCTTGATGAAGTCTTATTGCTTTGTCTTGATGTCTCTCTCTCTCTCTCTCTTTTTTTTTTTTTTTTATTTTATTTATTTATTTTTGTATGTGTGTGTGTGTGTGTGTGTGTAAATATTGGGTGTAAAACCTTTTCTTGATAGTAATGTAGAGTTAAACACTTTCCCCACTCTCCTAATTTTTAATTTCCCACTGTAAGGGAATCTCACAACAATCATAAACCTCTTACCAAAACTTTCTTTGCAGTTGCAGAAGCAGGTTTGTACATATTTTTTTGTTTCATTTTGATAATGAATTTGCATTGCAATCATTTAGGTAAATTCATAGTTCATCGCGAGTCACATTGTATTTCCGTTTATCTCCTGCTAAATAGTTTTCATACAGGATTCTACAAATTGTTCTACGCTTAGCTGTATGTCTCAGCAAATGCTAGGGAATATTATGTTTTTAGCTTTTTTTTAATTGATAATCTAGGTTTATTATTTTATTTATTACTGCTACAGATAAATTTTAAGACTGCAGTTGGTTTTTGAGTTAGTGGATTTTTCTCATGTTATCAGCAATTTAACTTAAAAGGCAGTCTGTACTTTTTTTGGTTATTCATTTGGAGAGTTCTTTTCAAGTAAAAGGTGTGATTAACGGTTTTTCTCTTTCTGATCAATAATTTTGCTTATTTTGTATTAGGAAATTTTAATACCAGACAATTTACAATGCTTTTCAGTTATGGAACAAGAATATTTCTCTTTGGAATGCGCAAAAAAATACCCTTTAATTCACAGCTTGTTTAGATGCAGCATTTTGAAAGAATAAATTTAGAAGTAAAAGATGATATTTGTCATTTCAAATAATAAGCTGTTGTAAGAAATTTTTAGCTTGCATTTAAACTAAATTATTTCCTTTCCATTATTGATAAATACTATGTATTTGCCATCTTGCCATCTACAAAACATATTTTGGCCTAAAATTTCTTGGAAAAGTGCAAAAAGGTTAATGCTTTTGAAATTTTGTGCAGCTGGAATTATTCTTGTATTATTATTCTCAAATGTCTCATTAAACTGTCTCATATTCACATTACTCATGGAAAATGGCCCATGGATCTAACTTGTTCCACTGGGACTTGAATGTAAGTTTTTAACTACCAGTTTTTATTAGTCTTATTTGCTTGCCTGATTTTATAAACTTCAATTGCTTGCCTGATTTTATAAATTTCAAACACCCATTTGATTGTGCAGAAATAAATTACATATTATGAAATTTTTTAAAATATTTTATTTGAGAGCTTAGTTATTCAAAACTTTTTATTATGATAGCCACCAATGTTCATGCATTTTCATAAAGTCCCTTAACAGCTTTTGTTTCAGAATGGAACAACTAATATCTTTGGTATTGGTTACATTTTCACAAGCGAGGTTCAAAGTTTGAAAATTCAGTGTGACTATAGGCAACAGTTTTATCCTGCAGAAATATGACCACTGGTTGACGGTCCTCCTGTGGGCAAATGTAATTATGTATATTCTGGCATATAACATGAACTTTTAATTAAAAATAATAGGACCGAAATTTACAGGTGTGCATCATATACCAGATCTGGAGCCAGATTTACTACTAAAAGGAGCACTAGATCAACTGGATTTCAAATAAAGCAAATTCGATTTACTAAAGCCTTCGATTTTCACTTCAAAATCTCAGCTTCAAATGACTATAGAAAGAGAAAACATCTAATTCCATGAATTCATTCAGTTTGGAACTGCTCTACAATAGCATGCTTTTGAAGACTTGCAGTGAATACAATGCATGCTCTTGTCAGAATATTTACTCCTTCAAACATTTAACCCACAAAGATATTGTTCTTATCACTTTTCAATGCAGTTTACCATTGTTTGGAAGGCTAGGACGAATGTTCGAATAAGTGACCTCAAAAGATAAGTTCATGCATCTTGTAGGTTTTTTCGTGAAGAATTGGGTGCATGCCATATGGCAAATATACCTAAAAATTAAAAAATGTAGCTTAAAATTATAGATGCGTCTTGTACACCAGAAAATATGGTAATCAATGTACTGAAGTAAACTCCTATTACTATTGTTTATTCATGGAAGTAAAATGGTCCTAAAAATCTTTTCATACAGTATCCAGCACCAAACATTTACTTTTGGGCTGCTCCACTTCATCTGTCTTGTGACATCAGGACTTTCAGATCCCCAGATCCTCATAGTATGTGTAAAATAAACCAAAACAAATTATTTGGGGTAAAAATGACTTTGTGGGAATAACACCAGAAAAACTTGGAGCTCTGCTTTTTACAGAGTGCCCACCTAGGATAATAGGGTAAAGTTGTTTGGGGACTTTGTGGACATCCTATACTTGAGTGTTCAAACAACCTTCTTAAAATTCATTTTCATCATGTTATCCAGTTTTTCCTCCATTGCCCAGATATTATCCTTTTAGTTTTTTCCATTCTTAAGAGTTTTGATTTTTTAAAAAAGCTTAGAAATCAAAGGTGTAGAATTGGGAGGAGTTTAATTTATTCTCAAATCTTTGATTGATCATACCGTGATTGTGAGGGTAAGAGTGTTAAGAATTATGGATGTATCATTTGAAGACATGCATCAATATTTGTGATAATTATGTTAAAAACGTTTGTCAGATAACCAAGTTTTCAAAAAGAGGAAAAACAAACATGTTATCTAAGTTATTCCTATGAAATTAAATGCTTGGCTCGAAAGGGCTCAAAAGTTTGTTTGCATGTACATGTACCAAAAGAGTGTTTAAGTGTTAACTGAGATGGATTGGTTAACTTTTGAAGGAATTTGATATAATTAGCTTGTCTTTATTTTGTGTGCAAAACATTATCCATTAGAATTGTTACATTAGCTTTAAATTATTAAAAATTACATTAGCTTTGAATGGTTTTCTACACCGAGCTACCACATTCTGTCACCATATGAACTTCTAAGTACCAGTTGCCATCTCACATTCTCACCTCTTCCATGTTTTTTGAACATTGCTATATGCTGTTTGATTGACTCAAATGAGACTTCATTTCATGCGAATTGGAACATTAACATCTACTTGGCGATATAAACCAATAGCCTCCTCATTATTGTTTAGTATAACTCATTGCCCCATGACCAGACTATAAATTTTGGGGGTACACCCTTCTTAATGCGGCTAGTAGGCATTTTGGCTTTTTCTCCATCAACATGTAAATATGAGCCAAAATTCCATGTTTGGGATACTTAGATGTAAAATTATTTTTTAATGAGTAAGTCAACACAGTAATTGTATTAAATTTTATGTGCTTCTGAATAATATAAACTAGAATTTCTTTTTCTTTTTTCAATTTAGGTCGAAATAAAAAGTTAGGTCTTTCAGGACGATATTCCAGAGAAGTGGGTTTATTGAGTACTAGTAAATTATTTACTCTACAAGATCGAATGTTTGCTTTTACTCCTCAGGTACATATATTTATTTTTAATGTGCATTATGTATTAAAGACATTGTAATGAATTTTATACTATTTAATTCACATACATATCAAGTCATCTATTTAAATGCAAAAATATTTTTGAATTTAATGATTCTGGTGAAAATAATTTTCTTTTTCTGATAGCAGCCAAATTTTCCCCAGAAAAATTTTAATTCATTTATTTTATTATTTATTTTCTTTTTTCTTACTCTTTTATAATAGTATTTTCTTTTTATTAATGTGTATTTCTTCTCTAATATACATGCATATTTCATAGTTAGAATTAATTTGAAGCTAGAAAAAATACTTGTAATTTATCTAAAATAGTTGAAAAAAATTACTAGCAATGGAGTGAAATTGTGTTTATTTTCATGCAGAAATAGCTCTCTTTATTTCAATTGTTATTAAGTATTTTTTTTTTTGAATATATGTAAATTTTAAAACATTTAAAATTGTATGATTCTATAACATGGAATTTTCAGTTTTAAATTGTTGAATGCAAACTTAGTATATGATGAAAGTTTTAATTTAGAATTTTATATTTGAATTTGGAATTTTGTGCTGTTTTTCTTTATTTTGGGAATTTATTATTTTGGATTTTATTATTTGGAATGTTGTGCGGTTATATATCAAATGGAAAGTTTTTTTTAATGTGCTACAAAAGAATTGGTGAAAATATTAAAAATTCTTTTATTGATTAAAGTTAGAAAACGACTGTTGTAATTAACATTTATTTGTTTAGCAATCTCTTTAACATCTAAAATACTGGATTTAAACTGTAAATTATGAATTAACGGGTGAAGTAATATCTAATAAATGCCATTTATATTTAAGGGAATGATGTGAATATATTTACTTATAATTTTAGTTTACTTATAATTTTGTTTTTAATTTCCATTATATATATATATATATATATATATATATATATATATATATATAAATGTTTTTATATTCAATTTCATAGTAAATAATAAGTAAATATTTTTAGTAATTGCCTATTTTGTGGCAGCGTATGCTAATATTTCCATTTTACTAATCTATTTAGTAGTTTTAATTAGTTTATATTTCCCATTTTGGCTGTGAAACAGTTTTCTAAGGTATTTAAGTATGCTTTGTATTATTTGTTGTTTATCCTTTACAATTTCATCAGGAAAAAAAAATATTTGTCTGATAAAACTGGAGTCTACAGTAAACCCTTGCTGAACATTGGGGTTATGTCGATTAATACACAGCATATACAGCAAAATCGCTTTTGCAAAGTTAATTATCTTCAGGAAAAATGTGTTAGTTATAATTTAGATGAAGAAAATATGTATAATTTAAACAAGCCTAAATATTGTTGTAATTAAAAGGAAACAAATATTGATTAAAAGAATTTGTATTACTGCATAAGTATGTGTTGTAATTATTTTTTTACGAAAAAGCTGATGATTTTGGTGGGGACAATGACCATCACAGCTCATTAAATGCTTTGTGTTAAGAGTGCAGAGTTTTCCAATGCCTCTCATAAAGTTTTCATTTGTTCTTCGTTTGGATCAGTCTACACTACTAAAGCAGAGAGTTCCTGTGTCTTTTTTGCAGCTCATTTAACTTGTAAATTAAAGATACTTTACTGTTTTCTTCATGATCACTACTTCCAGTGTTGGTGGTTTTATAAGATCTTCCAATTCTTCATTCATCATTTCTCAATTAATCTTCATTATTTCTTTTCCATATGCCAAAAATCCTTTGCCACTAGTTGCTTTTTCAGTTCATTTAGTTTCTTTGGCTTCCTTTCCAGTTGATGGAAATCTTTTGAAATTGTTGATAACTTCTGGCCAGTTGGATGCCAGCAAGCAATTAATGTTGATGAAAACCGCAAATTACATATGAATGAAATTTCAGTGTTGGTAAATTTTACTAAATTCATTAAAAAATATTGCATTTTTTAACTATATGTTTTGGTTCATTTTAAATTTGTAATTAGGAAAATGTTATTAAAATTAACATTTGTAAGGTTTTTAAGCATATAGAACAGTTTTTTAACTGCAAGTAAAATAATAATATATTTCCTGCAAGTTTCATGATACGTGAGCACCTAACAGGGAAGTTATATTTACAGTTGTATAAATTGTAAAAAAGTAGAATTACCTTAACTTAGCCTTTCCCTTCCCCCAAAGGTGTGATTTAGTGTGATTATCTTAAAACAAAGCAACAGTCACACTTTAAAGCCTCAGTCCAGATGAAAAATACTGAGTTTCTTTTTTAATTCTTTTTCTGTTATCATTTTACTTCAGTGAACACACACTGCACCATCTTGTGGATCTTATTTATTTAATTTTTTGGTGGAGGTAAAATCACCTCTAAAAAGCTCTTTTGCTAGTCCTAGTGTAGCTTTTAAATATCTAATATCCTTTCAATCAGTGAAACACCACCATTTTTTTAATACCAGTATCGAAGTCATTTAGAGAACTTTTACTTCTTCCAGACTCATTTACAGACATTTTGGATTCTGATGCCAAATCACAATCTGAATTGAAAGAAATTAGCTGCATACATTCTGAATTCTTCTAGTTATTATTTTATGTTATATTAACTTCTAGTTATTATTATGTGTTAAAAATAAATTTTATCTACTGTACATCAATAAAATTATCAAATAAAAAATAAAAAATGCATGGGAAAAGTTAAGCGTTGAAATGTAAAAATTCTTTAAGTTCTAAAAGTAACATGAAACAAATGAATAGTTTTGAATTGATTGGTATGGAACAAAATAGACTTTACGAATGACCATTTAGTGGGCATCTACTGCCATCTGTATGACTAATTTAATATTAAAAATAGAAAAGAATGGGCAAAACAGTAAAAGCAACAGAGAAATGAGATTTTCGTGAGGCATGGAGGCAAATTGGTAAAAGTCTGAAAGCAGTGCCTTTACGGCACGTGGGCAAAGCAGCGAAGTGGTTAAATGGAAACAATTCTGATAATATGTATATGCGAAATTGTTTGCACAAATCTATGCTTGGGTAGGGTTTACTGTTATTTGACGGAGCAATACATTGGTTATAAACTGTCATTTTAATTGGTTATCTTACTTATAAATGCTATTCTTTGGATTTATGTATATTTCATTTGTTTTAATATATTCATTGAAAAAATTATAATAGAATTTTCTCTGTGCATTTTATTTTACATTTATGTAAATAAATAAAAAATCATTGCTAAAATTGTTAATACTTTATTGCATTTATTTATATCTGTTTTAAGTATTTTTATCAATAGTATGCTTCTAATTATTTCATTTTGACATTTCATTCTAATTTTTAATGCAATTTATGTCCATTGCCCACTTGTAGTTTGTTGATCAACAAAGGTTTTATCTCGCATCTGATACAGATCTGCTGATAGATACTTTCAAGACTGAAATTGCATTTTTGAAGACCAGTTGGCACATGCTGGGAAGACCCACTGTGGTCTTAAATTTGCAGAAATCTCTCATAGGTGGGTTATAATCCCACAGTCGATATATCTCAAAAAATTTTCTGTCAATATCTTTGTGAAATATGGTGCTCTTTTCAGCATTCTCTGTAGCCTTGTATAATCCTGCATGAATACTTTAAGTTGGTATTTTGTAATTTATTTAACTTTTCTTTTTCTTAAATTATGCATTAATTTGGCTGTTAAGTGCTTGGATTTTCCTGTGTTTTATTTAAATTGTGGGATTGGTTTGAGAACATCGGCTCTGTGCATGACAGTGTTATATATATCAGTTGATTTCACCTTAAAATTATTAATGGAGGCTTGGATGATTAAATTTAAAATTTAAATTTTTTAAAATTTATGGTTTTGATATTTGGCATTTAATTTACTGGATTTTTTTAATTGTACATTTTTAATTGTAATTATTTGAATGAAAGTGCTATTTAATAAGCATCATTTTTCTGTTTGAATGTTTTTTTCTTGCACTTGATACAGTGTTTGAATTTCAGTTTGCATAATTAATATAAAATAGTCATGAAAGTTTTTAAGAGAGGTATTTTATTTTCTTTTGGCTCTTTGTTGACCTGTATAAATTTAAAACTAATGGATATAGTACTTTAGTGAAAGTTAACATAAGTTGGTCTAGTGAGAAATGGTATGATCACATAGAAATTCTTAGCAATGGTTAATGGGAGAGCATGAGTGGTTGTATTATTCTGTAGCCTCTATCGAACTCAAATAGCAAGTGGGCTGAATTCATGATCTAAAAGCAGATCATGGGATGATTTCTTTTTTTTTACCAAAATGAAGAGGTTTTTTTTTAAAAAAAACTAAATTTTAAAACTTTTAATATTAAACTAAGTTTAAAATTCTATTCACTATATATTTAACAAAACTTGCATAAACAATAATAATAATGGCACAAAGGAAAAATATCAATTTATGTTTATTTTTTGTCTGGAATCTTAAATTGGTGTGTAAGAGAAATTTTTCTGTTGTTTGCACTCTGTGATACAAAGTATTGATGGTAAAATATTAAAGTTTCAGATTGTTTATTTCAAAGGATTCTAATATGTGGAATTAACCAGTAAATAACTTACTTTTAGATAAATTAAAAATTAAAAAATTATGAAAATTTTCCAAGTTAAAAAAAACTGAGAATAAATAATGAGGGCTTATTATGTTTATTTTATTTATTAAATATTTCTTTGATGCATACAGAAAAAATACATACATCCTATGTAAGTAATTATAAACTTCTTTATTTCTTACTACAAATTTAGCTACACACCTTATGGCATTTTTATTTTTATTTTGAATAAGTTTGCAAACTAGAGAAAAATTACAAGAAAATATCTTTATTGCAAATTATAAATGCTCATTAGTCCATCTATTTTTTTCTTAGTTGAAAATTAATAAAAATTTTTAACTGCACGAGGGGAAAAACTCTTCACTTATAAATGTGTTCCTAAACAAAGTGATTATACTTATTACAAAGATTCATAATTGACAGTATTTATCTTTTTG